AAATGTTTTTAATTCCAACATCCATCTTAATGGCCTGCTGTAGACTAATTTAGCTGATAGTTGTTGTTATACTAAAAATGGAAGCTAATGATTTCAGCTAAAAACAACTAAGCCAGCATTATAAAAAAATATTGTCAGAAACTGATTATCATGGGGTGCGTTTGTTTTTCACTTCCTTTTCCCTGTAGAAAGGCATAATAAGACTTCCACATTATTTCTTCCTCTTGTGGGACCCTAGAATTTTACGAATGTGCTCTCCAGAGGGAGCTGCTTTCCAGAGCTCCTCTTTGTAAGACTCATCTCGCACAGGGACTGGGGCCAGGACTGAGGGGCACCACCCACTGTGTGACTAAATGCTGTATAGCTCTGCATACTTTATAATTTCCCAAATACGTGCATTTTGAAAAGACACACAATTGTTAAGGCCAAGGTCAGATAAAGCCATACCACACAACTATCTAGTTGGAGAAAATCTGGAAAACGTAAATCAAAGGCTTTCAGGTGCCACTGACAGAATTAACCAGGAATGCTAGAAAGTAGGCACAAGAAATCGTAACATAATCAGGACGCGATTCAGTATTTTAACTGGCAATGATTCCAGGAGAACTCAGGTTTCTTGAGCTATACCAATATTTGGGTTTAATCTACTTAACATATGTACCTGAAATTGTTGTATTAGTTTCTATAAAATGAAATTCAAATATCACTGAAAACCACCTGCACTGGGAGGAGTTTTTAAAGGTGCTGGTTGCAAAGTAATCTCAGTTATTAGGCAACTAGAATGAAACTCGTGCGAATAATCTTTGCAAAGTCTTTTGGGTCATGACCTTAATTAAACATTTCTAATTTTACAATTTTTAGAAAAAATGAAAAGAATAATTAGCTTTTATCTTCCTCAAAGGAATCGCCATCTTCCTGATAATAACTGAATAATCCTAATTGAAGGCACTAGTTTCCTCCCAACTCAAAATTTTTTCTAGTTTATGGTATCTTTTTTTTTTTTAAATGTATTAAATTCTTTTATTGGTACATTGTAGGTATACAACACAAT